CGAGGAAGCCAGTCAAGATCATGTCTGTTGCACCCATTATTATTACTGTTACGGGGCCTCTCCCCTATGAATCTGATAAGGCTGTCCCATGGCACTATGGGGCAGATGTGTATGTACTTGGAGTGAAGCAGGAGTTCAACATCGGTACCAGCATCAACAATATCACCGGTCCAGCTAAGGTTACCCGTAGTGGCAGGCTCTTCTCGCCTGACATTGCGCCACCAGTTGTTCGAAGACCTCTCATAATTACACCTGCAAGTGCGCCTGTTCCCCCTTCTGATCAAGTTGCTTCCCCTGCTGCCGAGTTATCTAATGCTCGGTGTTGTACCCCAAAATTTGCCCTCCCATATTCTTCAAGACTTGCCAAGTCTAAGCTTTAAAATCTCTTCAAGGGTTGCACAGTTCAAGGGCCTCCTAAGCAGTCAAAATTAGGGTTTTGGTTCTGACAAAGTAAATGAAGTTTCCAAGGGTCCAATCAAGTCCCACATGCCTATAAACATGGTCAAGCATCCTCATACCAAGTTTCAAGACTTACAGCACAAAATTGCACAGTCAAAAACCCTAATTGCACTACAGTCAACTATAGGGGCAAAATGGTCATTTGACAGTCAAAAGTCCAAATTTTTTGTCAACATCTCATTTTGAAGCCACAAACATCATTTGATCAATGCTTGATCATGATTCTCAAAGCTTGGCTCAAAAACCATCAAGATGCAAAAGTTTCCATATTTGGATAGTTGAAAAAGTCAACTGTAAATTGACCAGGGCATAACTTCCACATGGATTATCAGAAAAATTCCATCCAAAGCTCATTTTGAAGATAATGACATTTCCTACAACTCTTCTTCACACTTCAAGTCCAAGAAATGCTCTCACAAAAAGTTATCAATTTCAACATTATAGGTCATTTTCAAAAGTCAACAAAAAGGGACTTTAAGTCAAAGGCCATAACTTGAGATTGGTAAATCAAAATGACATGGGACCAAAGGAATTGGTTACAGGACTCAAAGACCTTTCCAAAATGTCCAATAACATGAGCAAAGCTTAAAAATTGAGCAAGTTATACCTTGTGGAAGTTGGGAAATTTTTGGATATTTTGAAAAGTCAACATTGCTTCAAATGACCTAAAATTGCTAATGGGCCTCTTTTTCTTCCACAATTCATCATCCAAGGCATGTGCACGACCATGTGGCCCAAAGGGAAGTTTTTTATCATTTTTATTTATTTATTTGGATTTTTTATTATTAATAATTCATTTAATTAATTAAAATACATGAAAAATACCAAACCAATGCAATCAAATCTTTTTGTGCATGGAATAGGTTTAAAATTTCGTGCATGATCATATATGGAAGGAATTGAAGTGATTGGCCATGATTTGTACCAAATAGGCATGAAAAAATATTTGAAAAGATCCTTAAGAATCAAATCTTGAAAACCATGAATGCAAAGGTTTTGATTTGTTTTCTTTGACCTAAATCACTCACACATACATATATAGTGCAACCCTAATGCCCATAACCTCCCAGCGGAGCAAGAACCTGATCAACAAGTTTGCAATTTTCTCAAAAAAGTCAAATATTGAAAACTAGGATACAAGGCGATTCAAGGCCAAATATCTGTTCCATTAGCTTGCTGAGACTTCAAGGAAGGAATTAGAATCAAAACCATAAGCTTTGACACCAAGAAACGTGAGAACGATGGTGTCCTGTACAAAAAATTTTCCACATTCTTGCATCACGATTCGTGCATTTTTCATAATTTTTGATGTTTGATTTATATTCAGTGTTTAATTCTAAAGCTAACTGTATGGTTTGATTAAGTTTTCGTGCCAAAATAGAAGATTCACCATTGATGCAGGTTAGGTTTTTTCAAGCTTTGAATTGGGCGTTTCTGAACGCTGTAAAATTGGATCACCGTGATACCATGACCATACTCAGCGTGTTTGGACGATCTGAAATCCACCCTCGCGCCTAATTTATACTCAAAGATGGCTTAATCGCTATTATTGAATCAAGCATGTTTTGGGGGGGTTCAAAACCCCCGCTAACCTTATTTTATTTTCAGGGAAGAAACACAACGAAGAAGAAGAAAATGAGGTGTCCAGTAGTAATTGGGTTATTCAAATTCTCGCGCGAAAAAAAGCACTAGCGTTTGTTTTACTCTAAACCACGTTATCAAGAATCATTCAACACCCATCAATAGCCACGCTATCTCAGTAGCTAACCGGCCAGAATTATGGATCCAGATTTTAAATAAAAAGGTGGTGGCCGGGACGGGAATCATAAGAATCACCTGCAACGTCAACGACTGGATCAATTGCTTAATCGACTGAAAGGTGAAAGGGAGGAATCTCGTTAGACTGGAACGGGCTATTGATTGGATTTAGAAAAGAGAGTAGGTCCCCTTTTTTAGGCAAGAAATGGGATAATAGATCTTTCTATCTTACGCAAGTTCTGCTTTATCCTTCTTTCGTTCTGAGGCTTTCTTCTCTTCTTTTTTTTAGTTAAGACATTTTTCTAAAAGGTTAGCTGAATAGCCTGTAGCAGAGTGGATTTACGGTATCCCCCCTCCTCTCTCTTAGAGTGCCAAAACCAAGAGCAATTGACCCACGGGCAAAGGCGTAGGAAGCACAGGTCAAAGAAGCAGCACTCGCCGCAGGAGATCGAACAGATCCGGTTGGTTGATTCAAGTCTAAGTAGCATCAAAAAAAGCGAGATACAGTGGTTTATCCCCATTGACCGAGTGAAGTAACAGCAGGCATGGCATCATAGGCAAAAAGAAAAAAGGCCTTGATTGACACGTACGTAGGTTCTGGTGGGAACATAGACATCTCACTCCGTGCTATGAACGAAGGAGCGCGTAAATCATTCATTCTTAGGCCCCGCCTAAACACTCACTCCCACAACGGATAGAGAGTCACTATGGCTAGATCAAAAGAACGCACGAAAGGAATAAATCTACAAAGACTGATGGTTGAGAAAGAACTATATAGATTGGTGAGGCTACCGGCTCTGTTGCTGATTCAACTCAATCGACAGATGAAACTAGCTCAGATGCTGCCTCCCCTTATGGTGCTGCTCCTGATTCTCGGTCAACTAAATGAAATTAACGGCCAACTACTGACTGAGTAAATGTAAACTGGATCAATAGGAAAAAGTTGCATTCCGTTCCGTCAGAGGTTTATATAAAATATAGATCTCAATCTCGCTTTCGAACCAAAGAAAGACTATGGCTATAAAAACAGTAACTGCCGCAAACTACAGTTTGTTCCGTAATTTTATGGTGGTGCTTAGATAGTCACTGATGCTGGTTTAGAAAAAAATTATTAAAATGGAACTGGAACTCGGTCTCAATCTGTGGGGTAGGGATCTCGAAATGAAATAGGGTTCCTTGAGCGCTTTAAGCTGGATTTTATTTGAATTCTTATTATTCTAATGTGCTACTACCTTTGTTCTTGCTTCTCCTTCGGATCTTTGGCTATCTCGGATGCTCTTACTAAGGGATGTTGTAACATCACTCCTAGGAACTAACACAGATGTCGGCACCTCATTAGGGGAAAGACTAAAACATACCAGCCATTTCTATTCATTTCCCACCATTGCATTTTTTTTCTTTCACGAACGAATCCATCTTACTTATCAAACATCATTTCCCGAGCCGGGCATGAGCTACTCCCATCTAGCCAATCTCGATTTGGGATCTTAGCAGCTGCCCTTCTTTCTACTGGGTATGAACTCAAAGAATCTCCTTTTTTGGACAGCCCCCCTATCTTGTAAGGCCAGCTTCTGTGGCTTTCCCTCATTGCAGAGAGGCTTTCGCTTAGCAACCTTTACCATAAGCTCAATCTTAATTGGTGATCTCAGTTAAATTAAGGGCATTCGAAAAAGACTCTAGGATCTTATACTGTCTTGAATCGAGGATTTTATTCCTTCCCTCCCTCCAGCTCTCTAGTTCTCTTCCTTCGGCTCTCTTTTAAGGTATTCCACTGGTGTCTATTCACCCATCTCTTCAAAAGTCTAACTCGGGGAAGGGAATAATTTATTTAAGAACAACGTTCGTTTAACTCCGAAACGAGCCCTAGAAGAGGATCCTATCCGCTCATGGAAGCTAGTCACACAGCTCTAAAAACTAGAACTCAAGAAAGAATGAATAACTGCTCCAACTCCATAACTCACTAACCACAGAAACAGAGAGAAGCAACTCGGAACGGCAAGTTCGAACTGAAAGAGCTACTGAACTAACTAAACAATAAGAAGTTCAAGAGGAAGAGTAGTTTTTGAAGCAGATAGTCTTCTGAACTACGTACACCCAAGTCTTCCACTCGTCCGCGCTTCCCCTAGTGAGTGAGGGTCGATAAAAATTATCATCATTCTATCGAATGAAATTAGTACGCCTGGTGAACCATGCCTGGCCCTTTTGTATAAAAAAGAGAGATAATCCCCTCAATTCTTTTACTTTGAAAGGAAATACACCTCTGTTGGAGGCCTAAGACGAAGAAACGCAGTTGCTCGATTGAAAGGTGAGGACGCATAACTTCCCTTTTGGCTTTATTCCGCTAGGAAATTGGACTCTGACTGAGTGTGAATGACCGACTTGGCATTCTCCGCCGGCCTCCTTGCTACGTTGAAAGAACACAGGGAGTAGAGCGGCCCGTCTGAGTACATAAGATATTGTTTACCATAAGAGGTTGTTGGATAAGTCCCCGGATAGGGAGATCCGGATAAACGAAAGGGGCTTGTCCTCACTTACTTGAGCAAGGAATGAAAGACTCGCTTGCTTAGCGCAGGACGGAACAAGAAAGGAAAGAAAAAGAGAAAGACCCATAATTCAACTAAGAGAAAAGCAAGTAGCACAATCCCCTCACCTAGGGATAAGACCCCTTCTGATTCTTGTACGTATACTAGATCTGTCTGGATTGGATCTACTAGAAGAGGCATAACTCGAGTGATGCCTCTATTTATGCCCTTAGGCAGGAGGAGCGACTGGGCTCTCTCGATTCATAGCAACTGGGAGAGGGGATGGCGGAACTTAAACCAGTACTTGTCTGGCATGGCCGGTTTAAGAATTCCTTTTAGAGATAGAGCTAGAAGCGCGGTTAAGCTATCACGCTTAGTGACATAAACAAACTAGCACCCTAGGGAAGAATCTTGGTCAAACCCGAAAGGAAAGCTACTTTAAGATAAGAATAAAACCGAGGGGTTTCGTCTGTCGAATAGTTACCCAGGAAAGCAAGATGCTATGGAAGGAGGGAAACCCGCTAACTACAATTTTCTAGTTACCTTAGCCTGGTAAACCCGACACCTATGAGGATATCCGGGGCATTCTCCTCACTTTCGGGAGAAATGCACGACTTGATAGCTCATCTGCAGCCCTTCTCTTGCTCGGGCGATAGAAGCACACTCCAGAGACCTGCCCGCTTAGTTACATAAACAAAGAAGCTCCCTGGGGCAAGGAAAGTTAGCCACCTCTTTCACCCTCGGAGGGGTTTCCTTCGATAGAGGATTAGGAAGGGCATGACTACTATATTACTTGGCAGGTTTCATCATTCTTCCACCTCGAGGGATCGATGTGGGAAGGGCGCTTTCCACTATATGAGCTAGGAAAGCCCGTCTTTTGAATGAATTAACAAACCTTTTCCCTCCGTGGAGTGAGATCATCACGATAAGGTTTTAGAAAACCGGGGATTTTCGCTTAAAGAGCGATTTATCTTCGTAGACTCAGATAAAAATCGAATCGTTTTGACCTGGCTTAAAAAGACGCGATTTACGAATGAACAAAGAAGAAGCGAAGCGGGGAAGCCTTATTCAATCAACTACAATAAGAAGAAGGACAGGCCTGCACCTAGGAATAAATCCAAAACGTCGAGGTCTCGACGAGCCTTGAATTTATATTACACAAATTGTTGTGGACATAGTCAACCTCCTACTAAGAGAGGGAGACCAATCCCCAGGAAAGGGAAGTCCGGCTAACTCTATATTTTTTATAAATTTACTATATAGGATAGGGGCAGGTCTCGTTCTGTTGAAAGTGTTCGTAGCGCTGCTGGTTTAGTTCCATACTCTAGTTTAGTTTTTTCTTAAATAAAGCGGTGGTAGCGCGTCGAGATTTCATAACCGCAGTGAGAGTTGCCGCTGCTGGGGTAATACCCTCAGTAAGGATACCAGTCTCAGGAAGATAGCCAGACTCGGTTGTGAAAGAAGGAGCTGCTGGCTGGTGGAGTAAGCACTTTTCTTGTTACAGTATCCTTTGTTAATGTAGACGTTGTTGGGACTGATTCCTTGCCTGCTTTGTGTGGAAGTGCGTAAAGTAGGCTCAGCTTCTTTGGTAGTAGGTGCGATATTGAAGGAGTTCAGGGCTAAGGACTGGAGCTTTATTCCCACTCCCAGTAGAGTAGTCTGTCTTCAGTAGTTCGCTTGGAAAGTAGTTTTTCGTAAGCAGGAGCGTAGCGCTTCGCGGGTAAAGGGGTTGGATTAGCTTCTTCCCTTTATAGTGGCTTCTGTCATTTTCACAGAAAAAGATAAATTCCCCCTATCTCTACTTCTGCTAACGAACGCTAGAATTGGGATATCGAGAAAGAGGGTAGACCGTAGAAGGTTCAACAAAGAAAAGCAAGTACATTCGAGCATTCGATTCAGGCCCTGCAAGCCACGAAGCGAGAGCAGCTGCCAAAGAAAAGTTTAGAGGGACTCGTTGAATGAAATCTTATATAATAGATTAGCCAATGATCTCATTAACAGAAGCAAAAGGTCATAGACCAAAGAAAGGGGACGGGCTATATCCCACTATGAACGAAAAGATGCACAAGCTAGATCCATTATCCAATCCCTTGACTTGAACCTTAACTTATACAATCTGTATAGTTATAATTCATGTCCGAATCCGGAACTAGGCATTGATTCCCATCTCGGTCAATCAATCGGCCCTCCTAGGCGAGGAGGAGCAGCTAACTACTTTCTACATAGCACACGTTCAGGATAGGGGACTTTAGCAAGTACTGCTGTGATCTTTGCCTTTAGCCTAGCAGTAGGAGGATTCTCTATTGCCGCTTTCATGTGACCACGAATGGCTCTTGTTCTCAGGAATCCTATCTTCCTAAACATCGTCTCTCATGCTCGGCCAGTAAGTACCTCTGCTTTTTTTTGTCAAGGCCTAGTGGTCCACATAAACCATTTTGTGCCTAATCTAATAGCTAATGTCGAAACTTCTGTACAGAATGTACCATGTGAGTCCTTCTCTTTCAGTTATGGTGTAATTGCGCTCTGTCGGTGACAACCTCCTACCCCACAGACAGTGAGTGGGATGATCCAGTTTGGAAGGCCCTTCTTGAACCAATGTATAATATATAGCGGATCCGAGAAAGAAATCTATCTCAGGGCGAAAGACATCTTTTTGACCCGGGTCCCTAAGTCCGTAACTGAAAATAGCCTTTCTTTTCCATTCAAAAATGAAGCAAGGAGTGGCTGAGCAAAGTAGTCTAGCCGTAACCGCTACAGTCAAAAAAGTCAAGTAAGAAATGATAGAATGAGGTACTTTACTAGCTTGGCCAAAGGGGAAAGGACCATTCAAGCATTCATTCCAATAGGGATGGGGAAGATCTTCTAATGCTTCTAATCCACCCAAGAATGGGGAAAGGAACTTAGTCCGATCTTCTTCCGCCTACGCTACGTCAACTGGACTTTTGTCACTATAGTAGCGAGTAGCTCGAAAGCCGCAATAGAAAGGATTTAGGGGGAAGAGCTCAGGTCCGGCGATGACTACAAGAAAGAAATCGAGCGGGGATAAATCCAATTTCATTGCCAGAAGGTATGGTTGTGCCTGAAGAAGGGCAGTCAGAAGAGGAGAAATCAGCCTGAGTTCAATTAGTCCCAGCGTTATCAGTACAAGTAGCCAGGGGAGTGTACCAAACAGTTGAGGAAGGAGAGGTTGTTAAGGAGGCAGCACGACACAATAAATAAGATCCGAGTGAAGCATAATTTTTGACTACCTCAATCAATGCCCGAGAGCATTCAATAAATCTTCTCTTCCTCTATCTACCCCTGCCTCGGTTGGTCGGTCATGGGGCTTCCCTCTGCCAAGAATTGAGAGAGGATATTCCGCTTTTACTCAGTACACAGATTCGGATTAGTCAAAATAGAACTAGACAGATTCACTCCCGGATTGGAAGGAGGAAAGTAGGTCTTTTAGGCCTACCTCACATTTGTCTTCTACGAGGGACGAGGGAAAGGCGGATTAGGATGAAAGGATTTTTTAGTTCATACCAGGCACAAAGGCCTAATCAAACCAGCAGGCGATAAATTCCCGATTAAAGTCTTGGAGGAAGGGTGGCTACTCTGTCTTTTGAGATTGTCAGAGCCAGGAGTTTAAGAGCGGCAGTCCTTATGCCGACAAGAAAGGGGAAGACTTGAATAGCAGACAAAGTGGAATATGACTCACTAGGAAAGAAGAGATCAGCGCTTTGGTTAACAGTTGGAATTCTCCCTCGTAAGGCAGGCTCTAGTTCGACTAGCTTTTAGCTGGAACGTGGTTAACCGGAGATCGTAGTCTCAATCCTAACGGCCAAGGAAAAGAATAACAAATGAAAGGTTGCAGCCATTCAGTAACACAACCCCTCCGTCTTTTCCAACAAACATGAGTTGAAAGAATCCCCGGAATTAGACTACAGAAGTCAAGCCTTCTAAGAAACTAGCAAATTGACCCTCAGCTCGACCAGTCACTTGACTGTAAGAACGACTAGAAGGAGAGGACTTTGACAGCTCTATGTTTCATGAGGTCGAACTTCGAATGAGCTATACACTCTAGGAGAAAGCCACTCTACCGACAGGGTGGTCACCGACGTTTCAAGGCGCTCGCTCTAGTGAGTTAAGGTGTATGATCAGGCCTCCTACATGGTATCCCTGCCTTACATCAATTCGATAAGCTCTCACTAAGTAATTGAAGATAACTGGGATACCACTACCGATAAATCCAAGACTTCGGTTAGCCCCAATTGGTAGATAAAAAGCCTTTCTTTCTACCCTTCACCACACCATGTGGATGGGGTTCATAACTACTCCTCTTACTACAGGACGCTTACCTAGCCGCTCCGGCTCTGCCCAAACTTTTCTGGTTTACTCCAACATTCCCTACTTGTCTGACTGTTGCTGAGCTGTTTTTGGATATCAAACGGACCTCTCCAGAAGGTAATTTTAATGTAGCCCCTCTTTTGCAATCAGTTTCGCTACAGCACCTGCTGCTCTAGCTAATTGTCCACCCTTTCCAAGTGTTATTTCTATGTTATGTATGGCCGGTTGAAGTATATTCTTATTTTTGATCAATCAGTTCCATGGCTTACTAATATATTCATTCTTGCGCAATTAAGAAAGCGTTAAAAGCGCTACGCACCTTAAGCACTAGAAGGAATCCGGAAATAGGTTCACCCCTTAGATCGATCTTCCCCAGCCTTGCCATCGAGAGTGATACTTTATCCAAATCTTTCATACCCTTGTGGAAAGCATCTTGATTAGAGTTATAGGAGAGCGAGAAGCGAAGTGAAGAGGCTGGTATGCTATAAATGAGCGATAGCCTTTTTGTTAGCCCCAATCCATCCTCCCGATAGTCTGATTATCTGTTATTCAGGTAGCTAGGGGGTAAATGGCTTCATCATCTCAGTCCGGTCTTACTGTAGCCTCATGGAGGCCTGGTCGATAAGTCAATACAGGGAGTCTACCATGTAACTCACCCCAGGTCCCCACCCCTTTCATATTATTTTTCCTTCAATTATCATCCTATGCAATTTCAATACAGGGAGTCTACCATGTAACTCACCATCCAGCTTGCCACGCATATGCTAAGATCAATCCAAGGGCCATAGTTGGAAGAACATCATGGACATGAGTCAAAGGCGTTACACGCTGGCATGAGAAGTCAACCAGGCCAAAGCTATTGGGCCTGGATTTCTAAATTGTGACCTCCAACTGGGGACAGAACCCCCCTAGGTTTGCAATATTCCTTTCATTATTTTTTTATTTATTTCAATTATTGTTCTTTTTAATTAATTCTTTTAATTTAGTATTTTCATGAAAAAACATAAAAACAATATAAAAATCAGAAAAAAGACAAAAATAAGTATTTTTATTTAATTAATATATTTTTTTTTGTAAATAAATATTGTTCATCAATTTTAGCTATTAAATTAGGTTTAATTCAAGCATTTTCTTAATAAATTTAAAATCGATAGAATTAGGGTTCATATTAATTTTTTATCCCTTTTCTTTTCTTTTCTCTCAATAATTAAATATTTCCTATTATTTTTATAAATTAAAATTGCATGTAAATAATTAGGTTAATTTAGGTTTAACTTTAATACTTTCTTAACAAACTAAAAAAACAATTAGAATTAGGGTTAACATTTTAATTTCAATTAATCTTTCTCATAAAAATTCATAAATCCAAAAAATACCAAAAATAACTTCCTTTCATTTTAATTTTCATTAATTTAACAATTTAATTTAATTCCATTAAAAAGGGTCCAACGCCCTCGTTTCTAATTTTAATTCAATTCGCGTATTTATTTCTTTTTCTTTTAATTATTTATGTACCTCTCCCAAAGCCATGTAAATATTTATCTCTCGCACCTTTACTTTATTTCTTTATTTTTCTGTCAAATCGGGTCCTGGAAATTTTGGCGATGTGGACCCGCGCCTTCTGTAATAGCTTTAGAGCTTTTATTTCTCGCAATTTTTTAACTGTTAATTAAAATGCATGCAAGAATGAATGACAAAAATAAAAACAAGCGCATAGATCACCAATAACATGACAAGACAAAAATAACTGAACATGACACACAAATCACACACCACCCCTAGGGTACGCCTCACTGTTGCCTTGCCTCGAAAGGTGATCGTCGAGTAGAGGATGTCTTAGTAAGTCCTCATGATCCGGGAACCTGGCACGAGGGTAGCTTCTAAGGTGTCTTCCTATTACTCTGGTGATCATCATGTCCCGAACCTCGAATTGACCCGAACACCTCCAACGGTGGTGCTACCTACCTCTCAATGGTGGGATGGCACTACTTTAAAGGACACTTACACAGACGAATTCCTTAGGGTAGGTAGGTTCTCGTAGATACTTGCTCTAAATTTCAAAACAATTCAAAAAAAATACTTTTCACACCAACACATTTTCAAAAAGCTTTTGAAAGCAATTTTTCAAACACTCTTGAGGACTGATACAAGAGTCGAACTGGAATCTTCAAAGAAACTTTTTAAAACCCACAGTTGAAAAGCAAATAAACCATTTTTTGAAAACACAAATGAGCAAGTAGCTAAGAGCCCATGGATAACCATGGATAGAAAGGGTGCTAACACCTTCCCTTTCTATAACCTACCTCCCGAACCGAGAGCAATCTCTTTAAGGAATTTTTCCGTGCTTTTGTCCTTTCCATTTGGAGAAAATAAAAGACGGTGGCGACTCTTGCTTCCGCGACATTTCGCGAACCAGCGTTAAACAGTCAGTTCCAGATCCACCGATCACACTCGGGGCAAAGGGATTGATGATGAGCCTGCCCGGATGGAGGCACCGAAGACTGTCAATGTTGAAGCCTCCCAGCAAGAGATGGAGGAAATCCTTAAGATCCTTAAGAAGAGCGACTTCAATGTCGTTCAACAGCTGGGGCATACCCCCTCCAAGATCTATATGCTCTCATTGCTGCTGTGCTCAGAGGCCCATGCCAAGGCCCTGATTTCATTTCTGAAGACGGCCCATGTGCCACAAGAGACCTCTGCAGATCAATTCACTGACTGTGTGGCCAATCTGACAGCCGACAATGGTTTGGGTTTCTCGGATGCTGATCTTACCGCTAAGGGAAAGAACCACAATGATGCCCTGCATGTCTCTATAGAATGCAGGGGCACTACTCTTGCACACGTGTTGGTGGACACCGGTTCTTCCCTGAATGTATTGCCCAAGAAGGCCTTAGACCGGTTGGATTGTGAGGGCCTGGAGTTGAAGCCTAGTAACATCATTGTCCGAGCCTTTGATGGGTCGAAGAGGATGGTTCATGGTGAGGTAGACATTCCTATTCGTGTGGGTTCTCAAGTATTTGACTCAACTTTCTATGTGATGGATATTCGTCCATCTTATTCCTGTTTGCTGGGTCGACCTTGGATTCACAAAGCTGGGGCAGTGACCTCCACTCTACACCAGAAGCTCAAGTATCCTGTCAGAGGGAAGACTGTTACTGTGCAGGGGGAGGAAGAATACATGGTTAGTCATTTGAATTCCTTCTGGTATATTGAGATGGACGGGGAGTTTATTGAAACCCCCTTTCAACATTTTGAAGAGGTACCTCCAACATTGGCAGCAGCGGAAGCAGTGACTGAAGAGAGCTTTCCTCTGAAGATGGCTTCCTTGAAGGACGCCCGGGCTGTAATTGAGAAAGAGGCTCAGAGGGCTGTGCGCAAAGCTAGGATTGGAAGACCTCCTGTGCTCATCACCAATCCAGGAGTGAATGCTATTGGGGATGAAGACGAAGTGGAAGAATCAGAGTTCGATAGCTGGATCTACCCGACGACTGACGGTGGATTGAACAATTGGACCGCAAAAGATCATACACCTGTTACTTTTGTTACGCAGTAATGAATTCCTTTGTTTTTGTTATTTGTAATAAACAATGAATTGAAACTTTATGGCTCGGTGTCTTACCCGGGGCACCGTGGCTTCATTTGTGAGGGCTTATTAATTGTCATTTACATATATCATGAATAAAGACCTTGGACGTTTTTTCGCATTTCAAATCTTGTGCTCCCTTTCTTTCTTTCTTTCTTTATATATTGCAAAACATCTATATTTACACACACTCACCTATACAGGTTTCAATCCACTCTGGATCTCACTGGTAACGACTCTACTACTGCCAGTTATGACTTCGAAAATCCGATTAACTTAGCCGAAGACGAAGGTGAAGATGATTGCGAAGTGCCTGGTGAGCTGGCAAGACTGTTACTCCAGGAGGAGAGGGCAATTCAACTACATGAAGAGCCAGTGGAAACGATAAATCTGGGTACTGAGGCAGATAGAAAGGAAGTCAAGATTGGTGCTAATCTGGAGTTTAGCGTGAAACAACGGTTGACTCAGATGTTACATGATTATGTGGAGATCTTTGCCTGGTCCTACGAAGACATGCCTGGGTTGGATACCGACATTGTGGTCCATCATTTTCCTACCAAGGAAGACTGCCCTCCGGTTAAGCAAAAGGTCCACCGTATGCGTCCAGAGATGTCTGAGAAGATCAAAGCGGAGGTTATGAAACAGTTTGATACCGGGTTTCTTGCAGTGACTTCTTACCCTCAGTGGGTTGCCAATGTGGTGCCGGTACCGAAGAAGGATGGTAAGGTCAGAATGTGTGTCGATTACAAGGATCTGAACAGGGCCAGCCCCAAGGATGATTTCCCACTACCTCACATTGATGTCCTGGTTGACAATACTGCTCAGCACAAGGTGTTCTCCTTCATGGATGGTTTTTCAGGTTATAATCAGATCAAGATGGCTCCTGATGATATGGAAAAGACTACCTTTGTTACTCAGTGGGGCACCTTCTGCTACAAGGTCATGCCTTTTGGACTGAAAAATGCTGGGGCAACCTACCAACGTGCCATGGTTGCTTTATTTCATGACATGATCCATCATGAGATTGAAGTGTATGTCGATGATATGATCGCAAGGTCCCAAACTGAGAAGGAACACCTTGACCATCTGCAGAAACTGTTTGACCGTTTGAAACTGTACAAGCTGAGATTGAACCCGAACAAGTGCACCTTCGGGGTAAGATCTGGAAAGTTGCTAGGCTTCGTCGTAAGTGATAAGGGTATTCAAGTGGACCCTGCCAAGGTTAAAGCTATTCAAGAGATGCCAGTTCCTAAGACAGAGAAAGAGGTCAGAGGCTTTCTAGGACGTCTGAATTATATTGCCCGATTCATCTCACACCTAACTGCTACTTGTGAACCAATCTTCAAGCTGCTGAAGAAAGATCAGGTAGTACGTTGGAACGATGAATGTCAGGCCGCTTTCGACAGAATCAAAGAGTATCTCCAAGAACCACCCATTCTTATGCCACCGGTTGAAGGGAGACCTCTAATCTTATACTTAACAGTACTTGACAGCTCAATGGGGTGTGTGCTGGGGCAGCATGACGAGTCCGGCCGAAAAGAGCACGCCATTTATTACCTTAGCAAAAAGTTTACCGACTGTGAGACCCGATACTCACTGCTCGAGAAAACTTGATGCGCTTTGGTATGGGCTGCTCGCCGGCTGAGACAATATATGTTGACTCACACTACTCTGTTGATTTCAAAAATGGATCCTATCAAGTACATATTCGAAAAGCCTGCTCTGTCCGGAAGAATAGCAAGATGGCAGATGATCTTGACAGAATACGACATCCAGTACACGACTCAGAAAGCAATCAAGGG